AGCATGGAAGGAGGCAGGGGACAATAAGAACCTGATTGCTCAGAAGATGCTCCGAGACCAAGCAAACGCTCCAGTTGTCCAACTGGGCTTCTAGAAGGACTGGATTTCAAACTATGGTAGTGATGGTGGTGGCGGTAGTGAGGGAAGAGGATGGGAGTTGAAGTCCAACACATCTGGAAGGGGTTCAGAGGTTGGGGAAGGAAACTTCAGGGATTTACCTTATTTTTTATGAAATGTAACCCTGAAAACAGGAGATTTTGAAGCCCAGGTTCAAATCTTCCCATCACACCTCAGCTCAGCAACCTTTCCTTTCCTTCCCTCTCTTCTTCCTTACACAACTTTTTCTTTCTTTCTTTCTTTCTTTCTTTCTTTCTTTCTTTCTTTCTTTCTTTCTTTCTTCCGTCCATCCACTCATCTTTCTCTTTTCCTTTCCTTCCTCCCTCCTTCTCTTTCTTCCTTCCTTCCTTTCTTCAGACTGTTGGCAAACAGTGTTCCAGAGGAATATTTATCAACACGAACCTTATCTCGCTTGGAGAGCTGCCAGATAACTAGTTTCCAAAGGCAGAGCAAGGCAAAACTTTGCACAGAGTCTCTCATAGTCATAAACAGAACTTTCCACACTTGAAACGTCCAAAGAAACAAATTGTTTCCTGCAAAAGCCCCCTCCCCGTTCGCTCCTCTTTTGTTTCCTCTGGGAGGGGCCAATCACCTCCCAATCCAATCACGTGTAGCTTTACTCCTAAGTCGACCCTGCTTTCTTAGTTGTTCTTGTCTTTTGGCAGCTCTGTGCATGTGCACACTGGGAACAGGCTCTAGCTGTTCCTCTGCTTCACTGCTGTCTAGCTCCCTCTCTGCCTCTGACGCAGAGCCCTCGTCTGAGCTTTCCTCAGCCCCCAGGACTGGCCCATGTTCCTCCCCAACCTCCTCAATTGTCCGACTCTGCTGCCAGCTCTGCAGGCCACTGGCGGGCCACAACAGCAATGCCAAATTCATCAGCGAGAGTAAAGATGTGGCATGTCTCCCAGATGCTTCCCTTCATCTTTTTGGGGATGCAAAGGGACATTTGAAACACATGCACACACATACACAGAAAGAGAGGGAGGGAGGGAGAGGGAGAGGGAGAGAGGGAGAGATTAATTCCATGAATTCTAGTTACCCTGTTCTGCTGCTACACAGATACACTGTCTTCATCAATAAAATTTAAGTTTATAAGCACTGATCCTTTTCCAAATATTTAGTCAACCACTACCGATCCCTCATAAAGCTGTCTCCAAGACTCCCCCCCCCCAATTTTCCAAATTCAGCCCGTATTTGTGCATCAACTTTTCCATTATCAAGCCATCCCAGAGCTTATTAATCCAATCCGTCTCTTTCAATGGCTGGAGAAACTTCTTGGACTGTCTCGTAGACGCATCCTTGCCACCGAGTGACATATTTTAGATTAAATTTTAATGAGAGCAAAGCAGCGGCAACACCGCCAATATGAATTTACTGTTTTGAGGAGGGGGAAAAAAACCCTGTCCTATCTCCTCTTTTCTGTCCTATCTACTCTTTTTCCGATACAATAAAAGTGCCTTGCAATACAACTGGGCTCCTTGTGGGATAAATAAACCTGCAGCAATTGTATGTCTTTTCCCACATGCTTACCATATTTTTCAGAGTAAGAGACTCACCTTTTTCCCCTCAAAAAAGAGGGTGAAAATCTGGGTGTGTCTTATACATTGAATACAGCATTTTTGGCCTCCTGAAACCCCACCCCCTTTGCAAAAAAATGGACATGCATAGCCTTTAGGAGGCTTCCAGAGTGCTCCTGGGGACTGGGGAGGGCAAAAGTGAGTGAAAAATGGACCGTTTTTTGCTCGCTTTTGCTTCCCCA